ATATATATATATATATATATATATAGGCCTACATAAAGTTTGTGCTTTATATTATATTTTATATTTTGTTTGCGGTGCTGCGCAGCACACCAAATTTTACGCACACATATCTCTTTCGAAATCCTGTCTTATCGGTTCAACTTAGATGAAAGCAGTGGCGGATATAATGGTGGGGCCTAGCCGGCCCCACCATTAAAACATATCAGGTGGTTGTTAAAGCCTGTTTATAGAAGATAGAAGAAGAAAAAAAATCCGAACTAAAACAATGGCTTTTTCTGCCAAAAAAAACCAAAAACTACAAAAACAAAAACAAAATTGAAAAAAAACCCCAAAAAACAAAAACAAAAAAACATTACTGCAGTGGTAATAGCGAGGGCAATGTTGAGAGCTCTTACCTACGCTAAAGAAAATGCAAATTGAGTTAACATAAAAGTTTTATTACCAGTTTATTAAAATATGTAGAATGACGTATTTTAATATGCACACCTTTGATATATATTTGATAAAAATTTATGAAAATGCAAGGAATATGAAAATATTACATAGATCTATCTGGCCTATCAATATAATATTAAACCTATATTATTTTATGTTACATTTATTTCCTAATTAAAATTGATGAGATAATATAGAAATTTAGAAAGATTACATACAAAATTGGATTGCCAACCTTCAGTAATTTAATTATATAAAAAATAAATAATACTTGATCAATATACAGAATTGCTATTCTACCAAAAATACGTAAACAGCTAGGTATGATTGTAGATTTGATTTTTATTTGGGTTAGCAGTACCAACTGTATCTAAACTTCTACGTTTTCATACTAAGATGACATTTAAAATGGTTAGCCAAATGTTATCTAATATGTATATCTGGACTGGGATTTATAATTTAATTTAAAAAAAACAGCTTATTAATATTAAGAAAAAAAATCATTGATTTGAGTTTGATTCGGGTTAGCAGTTGCAGACGTATGTGATGAATTTCTGCATTTCTATACTACAAAAAATGCTAAGATGGCATTTAAACTGGTTAGCCAACTGTATAATGTTCCTATCAGTTATTCAATCTTTTTTCAATCTTTTGTGCTACAATTGCTACACTATACCATTTTTGGGGTTTATTAAGTTGACAACAAGCGTAGGTTTATGGTAAATTTTTCCAAGTTCTTCAAGAATAATACATTAAATATTAATGTTTTTAAACTTTAGCAATTGTGTAAGCCAGATTTAGTAAATATGTTCAATGCAAGGCTACTCCACGCAGCCCTTCCAGGAAAAGCGATAATTCTCTAACATAAACATAACATAGACCTAACATAATATAACTTTACATTACATAACATGGCCTAACATAACACAACACAGACTATCATAACATAACAACATAACATAACACAACACAGACTAACATAACATAACATAACAAACATAACATAAATACATTGTAATAGATGAAGTCAGATTCATTCAAATAGTCCAAATATTTTTTCAAGAATAACTTCTTTATGCAACGCAGTCAACTTGACGGAATCACTTGCGAGATTTTTTTCGCAAGCATTTTGGGAACGTACTGAGCATTCAGTACTATAACACGTTAGGACAAACATAGATTCGATATACAGATGACTAGGCGGATTTTAAGAAATGATAATAATTACAAAAAATATCCCGTCTATGAACATTCCTAACGTCATTGGAATACCACACAAATTTAACACACATACTACAGTATATATCGGATTGCAATATCTTACATTTACCGGTAAGAAGTTTTGGGAAAGCAAAGCTGATAAACGTATATAAATTTGAAAAATGAAAAATCTCGCAAGTGATTCAGGAAATAGCATTGCAGTACCCGCTGCTACATTGGGATCAGATTCACCACTAGCCACCAAGTGCATCGGTGGTCGAGTGGTTAGACACCAGGCAAGTTTCTGAAGGTCGTGGGCGCGGCTCGATTCCCACCGGAATCACTGCGAGAATGTTTTCACAAGCATTTGGGAACGTACTGAGCATTCAGAGTACTATAATATGTCAGGTAGGGCAAACATCGATTCGGATATACAAATAACTAGGCAGATTTTCAGAAATGATAATAATAATTACAAAAAATAAGATCTAGTCCGTCTATGAATATTCCTAAAATCATTGGTCTACCACACAAATTTAACGCACATACATCGGATTGCAATATCTTACATTTACCGGTAGGATGTTTTGGGAAGCAAAGGCAATAAACCTAAGCCTATATAAATTTGAAAAATCTAGGTTTCTAATTAATAAATGTAACGTATGCCGTGAAAACAATACCGCATATTTGTGATTTTCTATAATGTGTAGTGGTGTGTGGGTGTGTAAGTTTGTATGATGACACAGAATAGCAGCAAATTTGCTAATAGGCCTATATAATTCTCTATGTTAAATGAATTTATGCAGTTTTTTAACATTTTATTTGCTCATCAAAAATATGTCATTATATCAGCAGAGTATTTGAAATTCATTACTCAGTTCTGGGTGTAATTTTATATTTCAAACTGTCTGTGCCTTAGAAAATATTTCTTTATTCTTTCCGACAGATTTTTACCGTAACTGCTCCATGGCTGGGCCATGCGTATTTACGTTCCTTTACGGAGGAAAACAATGATACAGTGTGTTGTAGAACTGATTTTTCTAAAACACAAAAATTGTGTTTGAAGAAAAACTCGGGAAGGGCTAATGAGATACAAATTATTTAATTGAGAAAAAAGGTGGGGAAAGGTGCGTAACCACCCTTTTCTCCCTAGTTTTAAAATATTTATAAATCTAAATCTTATTAACAGTTCCCGAGTTTTTCGTAAAACACCCTTTTTGTGTCTTAGAAAAATCAGTTGCAAAACATATCAATTTTTTTTCCTCCAGAGCCATGGCTTCAAGCTATGAAACTCTGTCTTGGAACACACCAGAACACTACTCGGCCGCCAGAAAAAAAAAAAAAAAAAAAACAGCGTGCTGGTTGGACGTGCTCCCCACGTACCTTACTGCCCCATCTGAGATCATGGATACAGCCCTGATGAAAACAATGTGTGTACACGTCGATCTATCTCTTTATCGAGTAAGTGTATTCAAATTTGTTGGTTTTTACTAGACATATGAGAAGTAGGCCTAACCCTTAGATTTACAAAAATAAGATGTAGGGCTACTTTTAAGTACTCTTTCTCCACCAATATTGTGTACTGGCAAGTCGTTGCAACCTACGGCGAAGTAATTTTGTCAAAGTAAATTCACTGACTTTAAGTTAAGTTCTTACCTTAGGTAATCTGATGTGACGTAAGCAATTTACAACATGAGTCATAATAATATGGAAATGATCCTCACCCCTACCAATAAAAACATTCGAGCAAGATAATCGGAAGAATAACGATGTTTACTTACAATATGGAGAAAACATATTAAGATATACGGTTATATTAATATAAATCCATGCTTAAAAACTAGATTTGCTTGTGCCAGCCTAGTCTACTAAAATTGTTACACAATAAAGAATGCAGCCTACACTATGGTTCTATGTCTCTAGCCTCCTCACAAATGAAAACCACGGTACTGTTATATTGCGACTATTTCTCTTGTTTCCTTTGACGCCTACGTATTCAATTATAAAACGTCTGTACTGAATACTTTACCCATCTTTACACGTCGCTAATGGAAGTATTACCAGTATGTTTTTATCAATTGTGATATAAATATATTAGCGTTGCCAGGTGTCTCTATCGATCCGTACATGTCTCTCCGGAGAAAGCAATTAAACATCAAATGCTAAATATAATTTTACGTTTTTACGTAAGAACTGAAACGGAAACGCTTTGCGTTCGGAGATCGATTGAAGTGGAAGCTTCCATGAAATTTAAACTTGTCTATAAACAGACTGGGTTACTTATACTTGGATAACCTACGGCATAAAACATTCTACACTAAACAAATGAAAATGTATTAATAGACATGCTCTACTGAATAAAATACTATATTTTGTAATAACGATACAAAGCCAATTTCTAGATGTACAACTAGGCCTTTGGTTTGTAAATAAAACATACAGTTACCGTGATGAAAGTTGTACGATGAATGGGAAAACAGCACAGGTAGGCATACGACGTAAACACTAGGCTACCAGACTAAAGTTCGAGAGCTTAATAAACATATGCCTAACAATCACCCATATTATTGAACTTTTTCCAAATAAGTACATATTGCTAATGCAAAATCAGGCATAATAATGCTACGTCGAGAGTAAAATATTATAATATTGCAGTATAATCAGTTGTCATGGTAGCCCTCCAATGTAGGTCTTATGGTTCTGTCTGTGTATGTTCAGCCTATGTTTACATACAATATGCAATTGTACTTCTTACGATTTATTACAAAACATTTTAATATTTTATGCAGTTTGCTAATAGTCCAAGGCCTATACAATATATACGGTAGTTTATAGCGCAATATTTTCAAAACACGATAATACAATAATCTGTATCATAACTTAAGCAGTGATTGAATTTAAAAAAAAAAAAACCTTCGCCTCAAAAATACGTGAACTGATCTTGTTTTATAAACCCCACCACTTGATGAAATACTTAAGAGCTTTTATGAGCATGTGCTGTGAATCAGCACAAGTTCAATTATATGTACCAGGCTTGTGATCAAATAAAGGCAATAATTAGAAGAAAAATGTGAGCATATACTAGGCCTGTATGTGCGCGCGTGTGTTTAGAGGAGTGAGAGGGAGGAAGACAAAAAGTAAGGAAGGAGTGAAAGAGCAGAAAGGAGAAGTACTTACCTGTCCAAGCGAGAAGATGCTAGCCCCAAGGAAGTATTGTACCTCCTTTCTTCTCCCGAAAGTGATTCTCCCTAAAGACGTTGACTGAAAATGGTTGGGTGCAAGCCGTGTGCGTTCCTATAAATAGAAGATACCTTAGCGACGCAATGACGTAAGGTATACAATTAAATTGGGCAACCAATTCACAAACACACACATCACCAGAACGCTGTTAAGTACCCGAAATAATATTGTATGAGGTAAGACAAATGAAAATTAACAAATCATTGGTTAACCATTGACTCCGTTTATTGTAAACATCTTATTGGAAAATACAATGGATTATATAAAACCTATATATATATATATATATATATATATTGATAAGCACATGGGATAAACCAATAAAAACAACAAACGGCCATATAATGCAAACAATTTATAATTTAAAAAGGACAGTAGAGATAATCCGATTAGAATGATAATACTATGTACATATATATATACATACATATATATACATATTATATATACATATATACATACATACATATATATACATATATATGTATATATATACGGTATACATTATTATATACACACATATATATATATGTCTCTTATACACATCTAGATGTGTATAAGAGACAGCCTGCTGCCTTCCTCAGCGTACGGAGTGTCCAAAGTTAAAGATGACAATTTGGCTATATCAACTAGACATGATAAACAATACATAGAAATGAATCAATGGACTGTAAAGAGCAACACCGTATACACAATGAATCGTTCTTCTGAATTACATGGCTTTGTGGTAAGAGTTAGTGACTAGGCCTAAATAATTGAGAGAAGGCTTTATGATAGCATAGTTGTAATTAATTGGCCTATACATGGTGGCAAATAATATATATATATATATATATATATATATATATACATATATATGTATATATGTATGAGTATATATATATATATATATATATATGTGTGTGTGTGTGTATATATGCATATATATAATATATATAGGATGTATAGGTATATAATAGGCCTATATTATTATATAATTATGTGTGTATATATATATATATATATATATAGACACGGTATAATATAATTATTACACATAAATATAAATATCGGCCATGTAAATAAGAGATACAAAGCTTATAAATTACGAAAAGGAGAATGGGCAGCAGCAGTAGAAGAAACAACAACAGCAACATTATCAATGACAAGAGAATGACAAACAAGGTAACAGAAAGAGGAACACATACATCAAGTTGGTAGGAGGCACAAACGTGTGCATATAAACCCTGTATATACAAAGCGTTGATTTTAATATGCCGATTTCTTCCGTTTATTTATTTATTTATTTATACTATATACATTTTTTGTGTCAGTTGGTGTTGTTGTTGAATTATTATTATTATTTGTTTAAAAAAATATTTGATACTAACCTGTTGTACGTCTTTTTTCTGGTTCATGATACATGAATAAAATATTACTGTTCCAGTAACTAAACGCTAGGGGCTAGTGGAGTGCTCGCGTGTCGACATTATTTCAATATTCAATTTTATTCAAAAAGCATCCGAAACAGAGAAGTAAAATAGACCTACCATTTGTGCAAGCGCTATTATAAGCGTGAGGTAAGTAATGGTGCTTTCAGATCATAATTATTAAAAAATATTAAAATATATTACATTATTTACTTTTTTCACTTATACATAAGCCCTAACTATTCACCTTGCTTTAAATTTAACATTAACAATGCATACATCAATTCAGATCTGGATGAAACAGCACACCCTGTACTGGGTTGAAAATGGCTAATAATGATGATGATGATGATGATTCAAAAACATCTATAACCTTTCTTGTAGCTCTAATGAACTATTTAAACTTTAACAACAAATTTAAATGTTAAGATAAACTGTTAAAAAATGTATGTCAGGTTTATTATCAAATCCAACAACAGTTAATCCAAATATTAGCTATTTCAGACACACAATGCCTAATGATCATGTCATGTTTTTAAATAAACAGGTTAAAGTGAAGTTGTTTTAGACGATTTTTCGGTTGGAATTCGTTCTGGGGTGGAAGATGGTAGAAGGCAATCCTCTACTCTCTTCCAAGAGTACATTAGGCCAAACTGTCTTCTTTAACATATATCCGAAAGAGGTGCGCTATTGAAACTTGTATTTTTAGACAAATACGCTGATTGTGCTCAGGTTAAATCTGCCAGTATCCTGACGGAGTGTGATCATTTTAACTACCAGATTATACCTTAAATCCAATATATCGCTCTATCAAATATTAAATCTTGTCGCAAGGGGGCTCTTTCACAACGATTCACCATTCCTGTACAACCCAATGAATGTATTTAATTTTGTTCAAATAGGTACGTATCTGAAAAGAAAGTGCTTATAAGTAATAAAAAAAAAGAGAATAAAATAAAAATAAAACCAAACAAAAGTGATTGTGTATCATAATTTTATATGGTGATATGGTGTATGTATGGTGGTTATATGTTGATACTACAAAATTTTATTGACATTTTTTAATGTTGGTTAATGTCTGTTAAATATATCTAAATTCTAGTAAATATGACACAAGTCCAAAGAAAAAAGATTTGTATTTTAATCATTACAATGACGTAGCTATTGGGACAGTCGGAACTGTCCTTCACTTTTTATTTAAGAAAAAGACATACCTATATTACCTATTACTTTCCAGATTACATTACGCGTAAGATAGATCCAGATTTTTAAAATGTTCCTACATTATTTAGTATTTTATGAAATGGGACCATGTTAAAAGAGTATGAAAACATTAGGTGTAAAGTGTATCCTATAAATGGGTCTGCAGTAGTTAGTATACATACTCCACGTATCAAAATGCACGCCATTGTGTCGGGATTCAATACCGTATTTCGACATTAATTATGTGATCATCAGGAATGAAAAATTATCCATATTTGCCAGTTTATATGCACAAATACCAAAAGTTTTTAACCAATCAGAACATTACCTCTAGTAAGTGACATGGCTATGAATAAAGTAAAGATCAAAGCATTCTTACCCAACTGATCAAAGTTACCTACAAAAACTACAGTAAGTACGGTAGTTGTTTTTACGTATAAAGTGTTACCTACAAAACTACAGCAGTTATTTTTAAGCATAAAGTGGTCCATTTTTAAAGATAATGTCTATATTAATTACACATTAGGCGTAAAAATGGGGATTTAAAAAAAAATAGGACCACCTTTCCTAAAATCTTCAACATTATTTTGTGTTCTCCTATAAATTTTGATTTTTAAAAACTTGGGTCCAAATTTTAAGTTTACGCATAAAATGGCACTAAAGATTTTAATCGGTCTACAGTAGGCCTATTTAGTTTTTAGACATGAAGTGGTTCTTCTTTTAAGATGGACTCATATTAGTTAGATTTACGTGTAACATGGGTACACATACATTAGATATTTTAAATTTAAATCTACTTTTTACTTTTATTTCCAAACTCTCTTATAAAAAAAACAAAGATAATTTTAATTAAAAACATTAAAATATACAGTAACCCCCAATTACGAATCTTCGAATTACGAACTCTCGATTTTACGAACTCAATTTGCAGCGATGACGTCAATACGAACGATCTTTTTTTAACTACTTACAAAGACAATTAAAATTGTATATAAAAGTCTTCAAAATAATATATAACGTTACATCAGCTAAGAAAGAAAACATTTAAACCAATAAATTGACAAAAACTTCGTATGAAGCAAGAAATATCGTTTTCAGCCTAAATATTCCTTTTCAAGCTGTGCATGCTTGTTCAGGTAGCTACAGTGGGGAACAGAGAATCACTTTTTGATCATCGAGGCGCTGTTTGAATGGATTCACAATCGTTATGAAGGCAAATAATTATTTGCTCTCATGGCAAGGCCTAGGTTTACCTAGCACTGAATGTAGCATAGGCCTCTATAGGCCTAACCTCATTACTGAAATGCTATGAAAACTCTCGGGTTAAAAACTTGCTCGTTTACTCTGTTCGTGAATAATTATACAGTTTAGTGCATTAATATAGGCCAAAATTGTTTTGCCATTTTTTTTTTATTAAAATGGGTCTAGTTTAAAAATATTGGTTTATATTATTATTATATATATGTGTGAAGTGGGTTCAAATCTTAAACGATTTCTCCACATTGTTTTATTCCACGTGTAAAGTGGTTCTTCTAAAATTGGAAAATAGGTCCATATTATTTAAATTTTAAATGTAAAATTGATATATGTTTTAAAAGATTAATCTATATAATTTATTTAGATTAAAAGGTAGTAAAATGTGAATCCATTTTAGACATCTGAGTTGCCATATTCTTGGTTGGGATGAAACTTTTGTACTATCCCTTCACCTCATATTTGCTCACAACAAAATTATATGATGTATATTAAAATGTAACGTCTTCCGTTAAATGAAGACATTTTGAGCCCTGTCATTTTATTCACAACAGTCAATAGCACTCGTAACATAATTAATAGGTCTACTCTGTTCCACGCTTTTTGAAAATCCTTGAAAATACTTTATACAATCAAAGGCAGCACATAAGTTGTCTCTTTTTTGCTACTCATTTACTATGGGCATATGGTCGAATGAAATTACAATAGTAAATGTATTTTCTCCTACATTCACCTTCTTTACAAATCTGAGATCTGGGCCCACACACTCTTTAATTGGAAACATACCGTAGACTCAAAGATAAAGTTTAGATTTTCAAAAAAATAGTGAAAATAATTCATAAATAACAACTGATAGTGTGGGTGTAAACTTTTATTATGAATTAATATTAAACACTGCAAAGGCGGAAAAGGGACAGATATTTCCAAAGTTACAGAAGTGGCGTATCTAGAAGTCTTGAGGTATAAGAGACAGCCCTAGATACGCGTTACTGAATTAAGGCTACTTTTGAAGATATAAATTTACCGTAAATGCATTTTAAATTAATATTTCATATTCATACTCACTAGGTCGAATGTGTCTAAAGGCATTGCTTGTATTTTTATTTTTTAACTATGATATAATTAGTATTATTATTATACTTAAAAATGGGTCCACAACAGTTAATAACTGTAATAAATGGGAATAAAATTGGTAACTTATATAATAGGTCTAATCTTCGATTGTCCCACAATGTGTAAAAATCATGTCAAGTCAAGGGCGATATAAAGCATGATATCAATACTTGATACAATCAAAAGCAGCATATATTTAGTACATTTATTTTCAATTCAATTATTAACCTATAAAATGCTATTCACTTTCTACAGACATTAGGCTTCATGGTCGATTCAAATTACAATAGTAACATTTTATCTTACAAGAACGAGAGTTAGGCCCACACACTCTAATTTGAGTTACAGTTTAAGAAAATTATTTACAATTAATAGTGTAGGTGTAAAATTCTAAACTCATATTATTTACTCCCAACCGAGGCTGAAAAGGAAGAGATATTTCCAATATGATACTAATGTAGATATAAATTTACAGTAAATTCATTTGAAATTATTATTTCATATTCATAGACGTTGCGACAAAAGAAAATTAGACATTTTACGCATATTCCTATTAACGTTAAACTCGAAAGTTTGACATTTGGAGATCTATAGTTAAAGGAACCACCCATGTGCATCGGTTTACTTGAATAGTAATTCATAATACCTTTAACTAGATAGAATTTCTATTTACAAATGATACAATGTCGCCGAGCTGTCCATTCAACTTTCGCTAAATACAGTAGTTTCATTCGAAGGAGTAACCACGGAAGCGTAGTAACAGCTCCATTGATAATGTAAACCAATCGACGATGCAATGTTGTAATATAATCAAGGAAAGTCCATTCATTGGAAGGTGAGTGGAAGTACACTATTGTACGGCATTCTAATAATAACTCCGCAAGGCTAAATTTACGACTATTTAAAAATAGAACATGTAACATATCTACAGTATCATGTTATATTCACTCTGACAGGACACTTCTACTGCCACTTGAGGCTGACGTAAAACTGTCGAAACCAATTATATGTTGATGTCAGAGCACCGAAATGTTGTGATAATTGTTATGATTGAAAAGAAAAAAATCTTTTGCTCAATCGATTTCAAAATCGTTGTTATCAAGTTTCTTAGGTTGTTCCACATTGACGTCAGAATTGCGTGATTTCGGAGAGGCGACGTCATGGTTTGTAAGTTTCAGTTTGTTATGGGTGGTGTGATATGTCCAGTACATTAATATTAAAGCTATTGTTTATAGATATATACATTTTCAAAAGTACAATGAAGAAAACAAAATACAACAAATTAATCATACCATGAATTTATGGCAATGGATTGTGTTTTTTCTGTCTACCCATCTTTCATTTAATCTATCCACCTATTCAATCCATCAATCTTTTCTATTTATCAGATTTTTCAAAATTCATTGCGTCATTCGAGCGAAGATGGGTAAAATTATATACACTTTAGTTTGCCGATAAGTGTTGCCATAAATGTTAGTCGTGTAGCGTCTTTGAGAGGCCAAGGTACCAATATTTGACATAATTTGGTGATTTATCTAGATTATATTAAATTTTTGCAATGAGTTTTGAATACTTATGTACTGTACAGTATATTAATACATTATTTTAAAAAACTACGACTTTCCATCGGCGGCACACGTAACGAGTAGCAATGACGGTGCGTTCATAAAGACAATATTCAAAACAAATAATATAAACAGTAACAAGGCAACGTACAAAACGTGAAATTAATTAAAAGGATTCTAAAAACTCGATGAAACTTCATGAACAGAAACATCGGTGCCATAAACGGTATTGTATCATATGCCTTATGTCTCCACAGTTAAAGACTCGTCCAATCTAATATTAGATGTTAAAAGTACAATTTTTATTCATGGCAAATATTAGGCTTAAGTATAATTACAATTATGAGAGAAATGTAGAAGAATATGTGTTGCTCTATTTAAACATCGACTGTAATGACAATAGTCCCAGACTAAGTTAATAGAACATGCGGTTGAATCTGAAGGTATAAAGAGAGAGTACACTGAGGGATTCTATAAATAATTCAAGCTCTATTTTAAAATCAGCATGTAATGGATACAGGACACAGGTTCCTACAGAGTATGAACTTGTGAATAGACACCATAAGAAGGACACAGGGAAGGACAAATGCCCTCAGTGCTAGACCAGTATTAATTCGGGCACACTGCATCGAAAGAAGTCAAAAGTGAGCACGAGGGCTTTGAATGTTTAACATGTCTGACGTCACGATTTTAATTGCTATAGCGCTAATGTCGCATGTGATTAGACTGCTAGAGATGTGTAAGATATGCCCTCTTCTTTGCATTATTTCCAGCTTGCTGGATCTCGAATGTATATGCAATTATCTCGAATTGTATATGTAATTATCGCATTCCTTATTCTAGACATTCTGAGGCGGTTAATAAAGTTGTCTTTTATCCTTGTTAAATGTTGAAACTAGGCTTAAAATTGGGTTTTGAAAATTTGACCAAATACTCCCTGTTTTTCCTTCACAAGAGCATTTTTGACTGGGGTGTCTGTTAGAATAACCGATTTGCGTCATTTACGCCCATCACTTTGACCATATGCGTTGCGGAGCTTTTGAAAATTGCCTAACGTGACCAGGACAAAACATGAGAAGATAGGGTGGTCTTTACTGGTACCTGGCTTACTGGTGTCTGTTGATGCTGATCTACTTTAAACTGTTGGTTCGACGGTATTTGATTCAGCTTCTGTATTATGCGTACTTGGAATAGGGACATCTTCTTCATGGTTATCTAATAAAACTGAGATTTATGTAGGCCTAATAGCTGCTGTCGTTTCAAGATCTGGCGGAGGAAGGTTCCTGTTAATAGGCATTAGATTCCTAAACGGGAAAATGATGACAAAATGTTTTGAGGTTTAAGAGTAATGGCAAGGCTTTGCGAACAATTCCAGAGATAGCATATATCGTCACTTTTTTTATCAAGGTTGCTTAACATCCAAATGTCGCAGACAATTTCTTGAATGGACCATAGACATTTCTGTATAATGGCTGGAGCTTGTGTGATGAAGATGACTTGAAAGCAGAATAATGGCAGATGTATGCAAGATTCTATACTTCTTTAGGACATGTGTGAGTTATACTTGTACTATAAAAGTAGGCATAGAACTTCTTGCTTCATACTTTCAGGCTAAGAAAAACAACAGTCATCTTCATGCATCCATCCGGAGCGATTATCAGTTTCAATAGTGGCCCATCTCTTAAAGTACGGTATTGTAGAAACTTCTTCATGGCAAAGACGGGGGTGGCCGGAAACTGCACCAGTTGCAATTGTATACTATGTAACTAATGTTCCTTTTCATGTGCTGTGATTTTAGGGCACCCACTTGTGTTTCTACTCATGGTAACTATACAACCTGCATGGGCGGATCCAGTAGGGAGGCACGGGGACACGTGCCCCCCCCCCAAGTTTTGCCACTAAATTTTAAAAATATCAAAGCATAGGCCCAATATTGAAATAAGCGCTCTCACTTACCTATTCTGAATATGTTTTCCCCCCTCCCCAAAAAAATTCTGGATCCGCCCCTGACCAGGCCTTTGTCCGATGGTGACGTCTGTTTCATCCACATTGCAAATGTATTTTGCTACCAGCTTTTACCGGCCCATCACTGTGGCAAGGTTGTCGAAACACTAATTCACGGGGTTTTTTTGCTAATGCAGTTGCACGTCCAGGACTACTCGCTTTCTGTTTTTTTTTAAATAAGCAAAGTAGGATTTTGCTTTCAAGAATATGCTAAACCAAACAGAGCAGGCTATCGAAGGGTGGTGCCGGGGGGGGGGGGATCAGCTCCGCTGTCGCCGTTGGGGAGAAAAATCACAATATTTGTTTTCTATCTGTCTATCTGTATCTATCAGCTATTGCACAACCGCCGTCAACTAGGCTATCACGTGCAGGTAAACGCTGTCGCTGCTGTTTTACATACTTATAGACTTTAATATCGAGTAAATAAGACTTTGAAACCCATAATTGCCATAGTTTTCGGGCGCTTTGCTTCCGGGCCACTTCCGAAAGATTTTGAGCCACGCCCACTTCGTTCTCGTCGGGGACATCACACCTCCACCTCCGAGCAAATCCTGGCGCCACCCTTGCGGCCATCTGACAGTCAGTCCACTTTTGTGGAAATTTCGGCCCAAAGTTTACATCGCATTTCTATACTAACCTTGGTGTTAGCCCATAATCTGCAGCCTACAACAACAGTGATATTTAACTAATTTATGCTCACGTGCCACGCTTCTGACGAGTTTCCTCTAGTGTAATACAGCTCGTTCTGTCTACTCTAGCTTGTACAACTCCTGTCCACGGTCTGTAGTCCGTTTTCCCTGGCAAACCATTCTGAAATAAATAACCAATATTGTTTGTTAATTTTAAAAGTTTAGTTTCTAGTCAAAATATCCTTCGGCTGTAAAATTGTTACTAATAATTTGCTTTCGATACTCGTGGTACGTAGGGAGATATGATACTAATGCGATGTTGCTTAACCAAATTTCTAACCATGAATAAGCACATGTTACATTTGTGCCATGTTACGTGTCCCATGGCTTGAGTACCGGGTCACTGTTATTGAACATTAATTAGGCTTTGGAAAACAATACCTCATTCATGCTTCGTGTGTCGACAACTCACACGCACACGAATAACTATATAAATAAGATAGTTGATTGCTTTTTTTTAATTATACAGTAAACAAACAATATCTCATACGATAGGCATTCTTAGTTTTACATAGATATCGAAAAGAATTAAAACACCTGTAAGGTTTTGGGATTCAAATAATAACCCCATTGGGTTAGTATAAGTGAAGTGGGTCATTATTATAGGTTGACTTTTAAGGTAAGAGCATGGGTTACTAATATCGTAGTACTGGGTTTCTATTTTAAGTTTTAATAATTGTTATAGATGGCAACTGATTGGAATGTTGAAACATATGTGAAACATTCATTATCGTCTTATACTTTGCATTCTTAAATCTAATTATTGCGAGACTATATTACATCAGCCCTAATAGGAATGAAACAAAAAGACAGTAACTACGAAAATAGATATACATTTTGAGGATAGATAGATCTATTTTCTTAATTTTCAAGAATAACGTATTCCAGAATTATGATCAAATAGATCGAAACATTGAATCTCAAAAATGTCTCGGTCTGTTTTCGGAATTATACTGTCTTTATGTTTTATTCTTGCTTACAAGAGAGGTTAGCAGCTGGCAAGCAAATTAATCAATTTGCAGATAAGTGAGGCGCTACCACAATTTTGAACGGAAAGTTTCAAAGAAAATAATATAGGACTATTCTAAACACAAATAAAGATAATACAAAACGCTACCATTTCTAACGTACAGCTCTGGTCATTAACAAAGTATATTAGCCTAGAACTCAATCATCTATCGCTTATGCATTGGTATTAACAGTAATCTTTCTGGCTTCAGTCGACTAAGTCTTCTAAATATTTTTTAGAGCGCCACCAAGTTTTAAGATACAACCGGGATTTGCTGCACAGGTTGAGCACAGTAGTTACCACGTACAACACCATCAAATTCGAAAACAAAACAATATTTTTAGAGATGGGCTTGACAAACCAATTGAACTAATAAATACCGAACATTTACAAGGACGGAATTCCAATACGAATAAGACAAGATCATGATAGTAACTTTGTCAAGTGACAATTAAGAGAAGTAATTATTTTAAGTAGGCCTATTATATTTTTTAATTATCATGTTTATGATGTATTAATGTAAATTTCTATTAAAACAAATAATTACAAATTATTTCATTCCTATATAAATTTCTAATAACCAATGTTTGGTCTCATTTAAACAAAACAGGATGCAATTAACATACTTAGGAAGACAATCCAGACTAGTGTTTTATTAGCTAATGTTATCACGCCTAACACTGCACCAGAGAAATATACTTTACCTGGGTACAACATATTCAGTAAATGGAGGAGTGAAGAAAAAATGGATACAATTAATAGAAAAAAAAAATCACAATCTCAATTATAAGACAGACAGATTGCCAGCCTATCTACGAAGCTCTGTGTCACCTCCCATCTTCAACCCAAGATACATCGATAAACACCTGCGTCTTTAATTTAGTTGAGTAAAGATGACGTACAACAAAAGGTCGTAAAGGAATGAACGTATGAAATTATCAAGCCTGTTACAGATATCATAAATCCTTTTCTTACATATGGCAGAGTACCCTCAAGATGGAATTGTGATATCATTGGCTAAAATTGATATTACAGCTGCTACTAATTTTGGAAATCAAAGAATCAAGAAGGCTTGTCATCCACACACTTTTTGATTGATACGGTATACCCTTGCATTATGAATGCCTCAGAGAGACAGGCCAGTACCAGCATACCGGTACTGAACAAATTTCTAGAAAACATTCTGATCGATCATAACGTAATGAAGCCTTCTAGATAATTAAACAAAGTAAAGAAATGCAGACTTCATTGCAGAAAGGTGACAAAAAGGATTTATAGGTGTAATTTTTGCCCTACCTGAAGTGGAAATGTACTGAATACTCAGTACGTTTGAAAACAATTGCGAAAAGAATCGCAAGTTGTTCTCGGGTAAGACTTGAACCCACGATCTCCAGATCACTAGCCTGGCATCATACCTCTAGACCACCGAGCTTGCACCTGGTAGCCAGGGTTGAATTCGAGTCCAAGTAAGCAGCGGGTACTGTAGTGTTGATAGTAATTGTTATTGTCGTGATGGAATAGACAATAACTGGATTTGCGTCAGGAGAAACATGTATAAAAACATACTTTGTAAAAAGAAGGCTTTAACTTTGACAAGTAATACATGTACTGTATATATAGTATGCAGTGTATTACAGATTGAAGATTTAAAAAATGAATGAAAACAATTTAAAAAAAAAGAGTGACAGTAAAGGCGGGTGACTCCCACCAAAGACAAAACCGTTTTTTTTCCCCATCTTATTTAATAGGAGTCTTGTTTACAAACTTTAATTTCCGATGAGAATCGCTTGCCTTGCAATGATCCTAGTCTCTGTCTCTTAAACGCTAGAGGGCGTTAGAATAGCAAATTTAACCATGGCTGGATGCACTGCTTCAAGGGTTGAGTGCATGCTCTCTCTCTATTTCTCTCCTTCTCAATTACCTCTTCCCTGTTGCTGAAGTTAATAAGTACTTTTCGACTTTCACAAGTTCCAATTGATTTGGAAAAATTACATCCAGCACAGGATTGGATTGGATTTCGGTGTAAACACCAGGAACAAAGCACGGAAGTCTGAAGAAGACTTATTTCCAGTCGGGCCCTTCTGGTGGTGATTGGGCAGTCCACCGGGAGGCAATTCCCTACTCTTTTTCAAAGAGTGTATTGCGTTCTTTAAATGTGCACATGGGCCATAATGTAGGCCTACACGGGACTAACGGCTTAAACCTCTCATCCGAAAGACGGTGCACTATCGTAACATTCAGCCCTTCCGCTGAAATACAAATAGAGCAGCGATGGGAATTGAACCGGGTACCAAAAGATCTCCACGGTCAAGCGCTAGCACCAGTTAAGCCGACTGAGCTAAAATGCTCTCAAAATATTATGTAATTTGTTAAGATTACCACCTTGTAGTAGGAAATTATTTGAGAAGAAAACACATTAATTCCAAATTAGAACCAAGCTCCAAAATTAGATATTTTCCACAATGTAGCAAAGGAAACACAACAGTTTGTAAACTATTTCTGGAAGTTATTGCCGTATATCAGCGGCTAAAATAGGCCGCTGCGTACAAAAGGCCTCTTGTGACAAATTACAGGGGTAGACAGAAAAATTATCTAAGAAAATAAGTAAAAATGTAAATTGTTTATCTTTTGGTCACTTAAACAAGCTTAATTGTAATATATAAGTCAAACTACATGTACTAGGCCTACTTCTTTCCAGAACTCTGATACTTTGATTTGTCTTAATTTTTTGTAATGTTATCAGTCTACATCCTTTGAAAGATTATACTTAACCCCAGAAATGAAGATTTCTTCTAACTTAGCAGATCTCATAATCCAACGAAAAAGTGGAATTATTAGGACAACCCACAGTACTTGGTAAAGCGTTTTATTTATAGTACAAGAGTATAATGTATAAATATTATACGTCACAGATATGTGTTTAGTGTAAATATGGAAGTAAACACCCACGAAAGATTTATTTCTAGTTGGGTCCTTCTGATGGTGAATGGGGTGTACGCAGAGGTGACAATCTCCTAAACTTTTGCAAAAGAGTATACTGCGTTCTTTAACGTGCACATAAGACATATTGCACACGGAACCGACATCCGAAAGACGGTGTACTTTATAATAGGGCCTACTTGCATTAGACACAAGGAGAGCAGCGGATGGAATTGAAAGTGAACCGATTTTCAACGGTTCAGTGCACATATTGGCTATCAAAGATCTTATAAACACAAGATAGCGTTCTCCGCGATTTACGCGTAACAAATAGAAGCGTCGGTCAAGGTTCAAAAGTTTCCAATTTAGCAAGAGGGCGCCATTCATGCGCTATTATACAAAAGAGAAAAAGTAATCAGTTTTGGGAGAGGGCGTCCTATCTGTTGCCATGGATCTGAGATATCACAGGATTGATACCCAAGGTAAAGTCGTGCGGTGTACGGTATGGTCAGAGCGGTCAAGGGTCAAAAGTTTCCAATTTAGCAAGAGGGCGCCATTCATGCCTTATTACAGAATTTGAACGCGTAAATCGCGGAGAACGCTATCTTGTGTTTATAAGATCTTTGGTGGCTATCACCATAATTAGCCGACTAAGATAGTATATGCACATTTAATGAAAATGTTGCAATATACAACAATGTTTTTTTCACACTGGGATATTCAATTAATGCTTTCAGTCGTCGTGCATTTAATACCGTAAACCTCGAACTGAAGCCCACTGGGTCTAATCTCGGGAAGAAGCCCATCCCAAAATGAAGCCTACCTCTTCAGTTTGCAAAATTAGCCTCGAAAAGAAGCCCATGCGCTTTTTTTTTAAGATACCGTAGCGTAGACTTTTTTCATGATAGTACAGTACATAGGCCTACACGTTACATGAATTTCGAAGAAACAAAATAAATTGGTTTATACAGTAGTTTAGCTGATTTAATGCCGGTTAATACACTCATTTTCATTTTAAAAATAAGCCCCCCTCTTTACTTGGCAAAAGTGGCCTCGAAAAGAAGCCCACCTCGAATAGAAGCCCATCGAAAGTTCGCAAATGAAGAAGTCTAGGGCTTCAATACGAGGTTTTACGTTATATGACAGAGCGCCCTCTCGATGCTCAAACCACGTTTTGCAGGTATATTATGGTA